GTGGACAGCCTTGCCTTGTCCCTGATTTCAGTGGGAATGATTTAAGTTTCTCTCCATTGAGTTTGATGTTGGCTATAGGCTTGCTATATATAGCCTTTACTGTTCAGGTATATGCCTTGTATCCCTGATATCTCCAATACTTTAAACATGAATGGATGTTGGATTTTGTCAAATGCCTTTTCAGCATCTAAGGAGATGATCATGTGGTTTTTCTCCTTCAGTTTGTTTATGTGGTGGATCATCCAAACTCAAAAGTATTTACCTAATTCTCCGCACCTCATGGAACCTTCTCCAAAATAGACCAGATAGTTGGTCACAAAGCAAGCCTCAACAGATACAAGAAGATTGAAATAATCCCTTGTATCCTGTGTGATCACCATGGACGAAAACTGGATCTCAATGACAAAAATAGCAAAAGGCCTACACATACATGGAAACTGAACAACTTGCTTCTAAATGACAGCTGGGTCAGAGAAGAAATAAAGAAAGAAATTAAAGACTTCCTAGAATTCAATGTAAATGAAGTTACAACATACCTAAACTTATGGGACACAATGAAAGCAGTGCTAAGAGGAAAGGTCATAGCACTAAGTGCCTTCAGAAATAATTTTTCTAAATAGGAATTCACTATAAGAAAATAAACTGCTGGGCTTGTTGGAGCACCCCTGTAATTACAGCACTTTGGGAGGCAGAGACAGGTGGATTTCTGAGAGATTGAGAGGTATCTTGATCTACAATACTGCAAAGCAAATCCAGGATGAATCAAAACTACACAGAGAAACCTAGTCTCAAAAAAAAAATACCCAGAAAAGGAAAGAAATTATAGTTTTGTGAAAATCTAGCTTATTTTATGTGCAGTAATATTGATCATGCATGGAGTATTATATTGACTTTAAGTTGCTAACGGTATATGGATTTTATGATGTAATATTTTGTTTATTATTCAACCTACTTTCCAATGTTCTTAATTTATTAAAAAGCTGACAATTATACATCTTCATATGTTTGTTGTAAGGGACCATTAGGTTGCAGGTGTTTTTTCCTCCATCCCCCATAGCTCTGTGGAAATAATTACACATAAGACTCAATTATTATTTTACAAATACCTAGGCCATATAGCTAGGCTGTTCTCTGACTAGCTCATAACTTAAAATAACCCATTTATACTAATTTACATTCTGACATGTGGCTACTAACCTGAGCTCAGGCACCATGTGTCCATATTCCTCACATAGTGCTGTCTGGATTTTGTGAGCCTGGCTCTATCCCAGAATTCCTTCTGCCTGCAGGATGTCCCAACTATTTCCTGCCTCAGCCATAAGCTATATATTTTCTTTAAGCTATATATTTTCAATTGACAAGTTTTGCCTCCATACAATACACAAAAGATTTCTTCAAATTTAGACTTGAAATAATATGTGCAAGTGAGTGAAGTTAAACCTAAAACTATAATGCTTCTAGTTTCTTAGTGATAAAATTGTATAAAATTGCTATGCTCGGTTGACGAATTTAGCATTCTACATCAGGATTCTGCAAACTATGTTTAACAAGGAAAATGATTTCCAAAGATTAAATAGAAATAATTTTTCTATATACATATTTTTATATTTATTACTGGAGAGGACAGGAGCTCCACTAGAAGAGCAACAGAACCAAAATATCTGGGCACAAGAGTCTTTTCTGAGACTGATACTCCAACCAAGGACCATTCCATGCTCAGATTTAGCCCATGCTAGCTCAGTATCCAAGTGAGGTCCCTATTAAGGGGAACAGGGACTGTCTCTGACATAAACTCAATGGCAGGCTCTTTGACCTACCCCACGAGGGGGTTAGTTTCCTTGTGAATCCACAGAGGAGGACAATGCAGCCAGTCCTGATGAGGACTGAAAATCAAGTATTCATATGTGTGTGGCTTTATTTCTGGGTCTTCTATTCGGTTCCATTGATCCTCCTTTCTGTGGAGAGGACAGGAGCTCCACAACGACCAAATATATCTGGGCACAGGGGTCTTTTCTGAGACTGATACTCCACCAAGGACCAGGTATGGATATAACCTAGAACCTCTGCTCGAATGTAGCTTGTGGTAGCTCAGAAAGTAAGGGGAATAGAGACTACTTCTGACAGGAACTCAATGGCAGCCTCTTTGACTTACCCACTCCCCAAGAGAGAAGCAGTCCTGCTAGGCAACAGAGGGGAACTTTGCAGTCAGTCCTGAAGATACCTAATAAAACATGGCTCCCCTAATATTTTTGTCTCTTTATTCCTTTTGTAAAGCTATCCTCTCTTTCATGTGGTTTCTATCCCAATGTATTGCCATCTTGACAGTTTAAGTAGCAGGGCACTTAAAAAGGTTTGTAGACCTGTCCTTCGTTGAGAGTGGGGTGTTGAAGTCTCCCACTATTAATGTGTGGGAATCTATGTGTGGTTTCAGTTTTATTAATGTTTCTTTTACAAATGTGGGTGCTCTTTTATGTGGGGCATAGATGTTCAGAATTGTGATGTCTTTTTGGTGCAGTTTTTCTTTGATGAGTATGAAATAACCTTCCCCATCTCTGTTGATTAATTTTGGTTGAAAATCTGTTTTACTAGATATTAGAATGGCTACTCCTGTTTGCTTCTTGAGTCCATTTGCCTGGGAAACAGTCTTCCAGCCCTTTACCCTCAGGTAACGTCTATCTTTGTGACTTAGGTGTGTTTCTTGTATGCAACAGATTGTTGGGTCTTATTTATGCATCCATGCTGTTACTCTGTGTCTTTTTACTGGAGAATTGGGTCCATTGATGTTGAGGGAGATTAATGACCAGTGGCTGTTAGATCCTTTGATTTTGCTCTTGTTTTGGTAGTGTGTTTGTGTGCTTGGCAACTTTTAGTTTTGCTGGCGTGAAGTTATTTGTTTCCTGTGTTTTTCTGAATGTAATTAGTTTTCCTGGGTTGAATTTTTCCTTCTAGCATCTTCTGCAACACTCGTTTGTGCGTAGGCATTGCTGAAATTTGTTTTTGTCATTGAAAATCTTGTTTTCTTCATCTATGATGACTGGGAGTTTTGCTGGATATGGTAGCCTGGGCTGACATCTGTGTTCTCTTAGGGTCTGCATAATATTTGTCCAGGCTCTTTTGGCTTTCATAGTCTCTGTTGAGAAATCAGGTGTTATTCTGATGGGTTTGCCATTATATGTTACTTGGCCTTTTTCCCTTGTAGCATTTAGTATTCTTTTTTGTCCTGTATACTTACTGTTTTGATTATTATGTGGCAGGAAGATTTTTCTTTTCTGGTCTAATTTATTAGGTGTTCTGTAGGTCTCTTGTATTCTTATAGGCTTCTCCTTTAAATTGTTTTTTTTTTTTCCATGATTTTGTTGAAAATATTTTCTGGCCCTTGGAGGAGGAAATCTTCTTTATCCTTTATTCCTATTATTCTTTGGTTTTGCCTTTTCATGTTGTCTTGGATTTCTTGGATGGTCTGTATTGGGAATTTTTTTGGATTTAACATTTTCTTTTTTATAATTTATTTTTTTATTATTAGTTGCATTTTATTAACTCCGTATCCCAGCTATATCTACTCTCTCATTCCCTCCCAAACCCTCCCTCCATCCCTCATCTCCTCCCAACATTTTCTTTGACAGATACATCGATTTCTTCCATTGTATCTTCCACTCCTGAGATTCTTTTTTCCATCTCTTTTAGTCTATTGGTTATGCTTACCTCTGTAGTTTTTGTTTTCTTCCCTAAGTGCTTCCTCTCCATTATTTCCTCCATTTGTGTTTTCTTTAATGTTCTCAATTCTATCTTCATATCTTGAGATATTTTTTTTTATTTCTTTCACCTGTCTCACTGTTATTTTCCTGTTTTTCCTTTAGTTCCTTCAGCTGTTTATTTGAACATTGCTCTGTTTCTTTTATATCTTTCAGTGATTTATTTCCTCTCTAAAGGCCACAAACTGTTTGGCTGCATCTTCTCATATTTCTTTACAGATGGCCATAATCTGTTTGTCTTTATCTTCCTCCATTCTGTTAACTGAGGAATGGATACAGAAATTATGGTATATTTACACAATGGATTACTACTGTGCTATTAAAAACAAGGAAATCATGAAATTTGCAGGCAAATGGTGGGAACTAGAAAATATCATCCTGAGTAAGGTATCCAAGAAGCAGAAAGACACACATGGTATATACTCAATTATAAGTGGATATTAGAAATATAATATAGGATAAACATACTAAAATCTGTACACCTACAGAAGCTAAGAAGGAGGACCCTGTGTAAGATGATCACTCCTCATGCCCAAAGGCAAAAGGGACATCTAAAGAGGGAGAAAATAGGAAACAGGACATGAGCCTACCACAGAGGGCCTCTGAAAAACTCTACCCAACAGTGTATCAAAGCAGATGCTGAGACTCATTGCCAAACTTTAGGCAGAGTGCAGGGAATCTTATGAAAAAAAGGGAGAGATAGAAAGATCTAAAGATGACAGGATCTCCAAAAGGAGAGCAACAGAACCAGGAAATCAGTTCCAGGGGTCTTTTCTGAGACTGATACTCTAACCAAGGACTATGCATGGAGATAACCTAGAACCCCTGCACAGATGTAGCCCATGGCAGTTCAGTCTCCAAGTGCTTCCCTAGTAATGGGAAGAGGGACTGTCTCTGACATGAAGTCAGTAGCTGGCTCTTTGATCACCTCCCAGTTGTGGGGGAGCAGCCGTACAAGGCTACAGAGGAAGACAATGTAGCCAGTCCTTATGAAACCAAATAGGCTAGGGTTGGATGGAAGGGGAGGAGGACTTCCCCTATCTGTTTAGAAATATAATAGAGGCAACTCAGGTGCCAGGTGAAACTGGTTTAACATAGATATGCCTTTTCATAAATGCCTGAAATTGTTCACACAGCAGATAATTTTATGTGGGTTTACCAGACACCTGAAATAATGTTTTGTAAATTGGATCCACTAAGAAATTGTTCATAATATTGCTGAAATTGTACAATCTTTTTTCCTTTCAGTCTCAGCGGCGTGTTACATTTCACCTTCCAGAAGGCTCTCAGGAAAGCATCAGTGATGGTGGATTGGGAGACCATGATTCAGGCAGCCTTCCCAGCCTATCCCATGCCCTACCTCTTGGCTATCCTCAGGAAGAGTACTTTGATCATGCTGCACCAAACAACCGCACTGAAGGAGATGGCAACTCTGATCCTGAATCTAGTAAGTGATTCTTTCCTAGTTCCTTATTAAAAATAGATTAATTGTGTTTTCAAATCACATTTTTATAACTTTAGCTATATTGGTCAAATAATTTTGCTGCTGTGACCAATAGCGTATTTTTAGAGGTAAATCTATTTAATGAGTGACATATATAAAGCACATGATAATATTTGAAATATAGGATTGCCAGTACTCTACTTAAAATTTACTATGAAGGTTATAACAGTCATTTTTTAGGCACATGTAGGAATTTTCAATTTTGCATACCTTTATATACAGCCTTTATTTACACAGTAATAAGCAATTACATTATTTTATTATATCATTTATTATTCCTTTGTATTATAATAAAGCTAAAATTATTTCCATATAATTCAGGAGAATTAAGAATTCTAGCTATTTAAAAAATAAAAAAAATTAATTTAAAAAAAGAATTCTGGCCCCAATGAAGGAAAAATTAGTCTGAGGACCTCAATAATACACTATCATCACATTCCTTTTTCATATCATTGTTTAGAAGTCTTACTGTTATTCAAGAAGCTGTTTACAATTGATACCTACTGGGAAAGGAAAAATTAGTTATAGCCTGTAAAACAGACTGTATATATCAACCATGCTGCAGGGTAGGCTCTATGCCAAGAAATAGTTAGGCAGCACAGAACTAACTCCATGGTTTTTATTCTTTGTTTGTTTGGTTTTTGCCTGTGTGTGTGTATGATTTTGTTTTGTTTCTGTATGTTGATTTTTTTTTTTTGCTTCACTGGTTAAAATGTTTTGAATATAATATTTAAAATATTTTCTACCTTACTTTTAAAAAACTATGTCCTGGTATTTTATTTTGCACTGATCTTGAGATTGGTGGAAATATTAGTTTATGCTACATTAAACATTAGAGATTTATTAAAACTACTTGCATATGAAGCAGTATAGATGGAGTATATGAGGCATTATAGATGCCTCATAATGAATGTAATTTTTTTTAATCTTTTATTTATTTTTTATTAATTACACTTTATTCATTTTGTATCCCCCCATAAGCCCCTCCCTCCTCCCCTGCCAATCCCACCCTCCCTCCCCTTTCTGCATGCATGTAACTCCCCAAGTCCACTGATAGGGGAGGTCCTCCTCTCCTTCTTTCTGATCTTAGTCTATCAGTTCTCATCAAAAGTGGCTGCATTGTCCTCTACTGTGGCCTGGTAAGGCTGCTCCAGGACTATTTGTGGAGATGACCTGGAACCCCTGCACAGGTGTAGCCCATGGCAGTTCAGTGTCCAAGTGGGTTACATAGTAATGGGAAGAGGGACTGCCTCTGACATAATCTGAATGAATGTAATTTTACCATTAAGTTTAAATCATTGTACTGGCATATTATAAATTGGCTGGTTATGATTAATATTAATGTTCCCTTGGTACTAATATGTTGAAATATTCCTAAAGAGACTGAAACTGCTCTGTAGTTTACTAGACCACTTATGTTCATGGTATTTTTCCAAAGGTTAAGGAGAGAAACAGTGCCAGTAATAGAATCAGATGTTAAGGTTGTCTTAGATTTCATGAGTGTCAGAACAACCTGAGCTAAATGAAACCGTGCGTATAAAAAATGAAGAACCACATATCATAGTTTAAAAAATGTATTTTTATCTCTGACAAAAATTTATTTATTAATTTTTTTCCTTTACTCATACCTTGTGCATCTACTAATAGAGAAAAATATATGAAGTGCCAAGGCAATATATGCATATATATGTTCTACATTTAAACTAAATAAATTTTGTCCTTAAAAATATATGTCCGCTATACATCTTAAGTTATCACATCTGTTGGCATTCATTTTTCTTTCACTAAATGGTTTTCCTCAGCACTCTAATATAGTACTAATTAATTCACAGAAAAGAAGTAATTAATCTTTCCTTTACATACATTTTGATTGATCTTCTATTATAACCTAATTAATTGGTGTAAGAAATGAGAGACTAATTAGAGTGACTAGAATACTTTTTAGAGATCTGTAAAACTTGTCTTGATTGGCTAAAACTCTGGAATTGACTATGACAAAAGTAATTATCCTTTGAATATTTCATTATTTGCACATCTAATTCTAAAGATTAACAACTGGTAAAGTAAACAAATAAATAAATAAGCAAACTGTATGAAAACTTAAAAAGATCCTTTAGTAATATATCACTAAAATATACCTCTGTCTTTTAAAAAAATTAATTATTTAAAAATTGTCTCACTTTGTATCTTGGTTGTAATACCCTCCCTCATCTCCTTCTGCTAAGACCCTCCCTTGCTCTTCCTCCTCTATTCTTCCTTAGTCCACTGATAGGGGAAGTCCTCTTCCCCTACTGTCTGATCCTAACCTATCAGGTCCCATCAGGACTACATGGATCCTCTTCCTCTGTGGGCTGGCTAGGTTACCCCACCAGGGAGAAGTGATCAAGGAACAGACAACTGCATTCAGGTCAGACTGTCTCTTCTCCCCTCACTAGGGAACCAACATAGAGACTGAACAGCCAATGGGCTACATCTGAGCAAAGAGTTTAGGTCCTCTCTATGCATGGTCTTTGGTTGATGCATCAGTCTCTGAAGTTCCAACTGGGCTGAGTTACCATTTTTTTGGCTTTTTTTTGGTTCTCCTTGTGTGACTCCTGTCCCCTCTGTGTCCTTCTTCTATAAGACACCCAACTATCTGTCCAAAGTTCAGCTTTGAGTCTCTGCATCCACTTCCATTCCCTGCTGGGCAGAGTCTTTTAAAGCGCATTTGTGATAGGTTCCCATCCTGTTCTCTGTCTACTATGACTTCACCTGTCTATCCTTTTTTAACTTGTGAATGAGAATTAAGCTTCTTCTCTAGGATCCTCCTTGTTGTTTATCCTGTTTAGTTCTGGAGATTATATTGTTTAACCTATATTTTAGGCTAATATCCGCTTATAAGTGAGTATATACATTGTGTGTCTTTCTGCTTCTGGGTTACCTCACTCAGGATGATCATTTTTAGTTCTTTCCATTTGCCTGGAAATGTCATGATTTCTTGATGTTTAATAGCTGAAGAGTATACCATTGGGAAAATGTAACACAATTTATGTATTGATTCTTCAGTTGAGTGGAATCTAGGTTTTTTTCTAGATTCTGGCTTTCATGAATAAAGCTGCTGGGAACACAGTTGAGCAAATGTCTTTGTTGTATGGTTGAGCATCTTTCAGATATATACCCAGGAGAGGTATATATGGATCTTGAGATAGCACTACTCTGGGGTTTTAATTTTTCCATATGAAGTTGAGAATTGTTCTTTCAAGGTCTGTAAAGAATTGTGCTGGTATTTTGATTGGCATTGCATTGAATCTGTAGATTGTTTTTGGTAGGAGGACTGTTTTTACTATGTTAATCCTACCAATCCGTGAGCATGGGAGATCCTCCCATCTTCTGATTTCTTTTTAATTTCTTTCTTCAGAGACTTGAAATGTCTTTCATAGAAGTCTTTCACTTGCTTGGTTAGAATTACACAAAGGTACTTTATGTTGTTTGTGGCTTTGGTGAAGGGTGTTGCTTCCATGATTTCTTTCTCAGCAGATTTATATTTTTTATACATAAGGGCTGCTGGTTTTTTTGAGTTAATTTTGTATACAGCTTGCTGAAGGTGTTTATAAGCTGTAGTAGTTCTCTAGTTGAATTTTTGTGGTCACTCATGTACACTCTCATATCATCTGTAAATAGTGATATTTTGACGTCTTCCTTTCCAATTTTGTATTCCCTTTATCTCCTTTATTTGTCTTATTGCTCTAGCCAGTACTTCCAATATTATTTTGAAGAGATACAGATAGAAAGGGCAGCTTTGCTGTTTCTCTGATTTCAATGGGATTGATTTAAATTTCTCTCCATTTAGTTTGATGTTGCCTATAGGTTTGCTATAAATTACCATTAGTATATTTATTGCTGTATATTGCCTTTACTATGTTTCCTTCTATCCCTGATTTCTACTTTATACATGAATAGGTTTTGGATTTTGTCAAATGCTTTTTCGGCGTCTAACGCAATGACCATGTTTTTTGTTCCAGTATATATATATGATGGATAACATTAATGGATTTCCATATACTGAACCAATCCTGCATACCTGTGGTGAAGCCTTCTTGCTCTCATTAGAGAGATTGGTCCAAGATTCCCTTTCTTTGTTGGGTCTTTGTGTGGATTAGATATCAAGGAAGTCTTTAATTTCTTTTTTACTTCTTCCAGACTCAGCTGTCATTGAGTAGAGAGTTGATTAGTTTCCATGACTGTGTAGGCTTTTTGTTACTTCTGTTATTGTTGAAGTCTAGTTTTAGATCTTAGTTGTCTGATATAATACATGGGATTATTTCAATCTTTTTATATCTGTTGCATCTTGCTTTTTGCTTGGCTATATAGTCAATTTTGGAGAGGACCCCATAGGTGCTGAGAAAAAGATAGACTTTTATGATTGAGTGAAAAGTTCTGTAGACATCTATTAAGTCCATTTGATTTAAGAACTCTGTGAGTGTCATGATTCTCTTTTTAGCTTCTGTCTTTATGATCTTAATTTGTAAGAGTAGGGTGTTGAGGTCTCCCACTATTAAGGTATTGGGGTCAGTTTGTGATTTAAGCTTTAATAAAGTTTTTTTTTTTCAAATACAGAAGCTCTTGTGTATGGGGCATAGATGTTTAAGACAGTGATGTATTCCTGGTGGAGTTTTCCTTTAATGACAATGAAGTGTCCCTCCCCATATCTTTTGATTAATTTTGGTTGAAAGTCTATTTTATTAGATATTAAGATGGCTAGTCCAGCTTGCTTCTTGCATCTGTTTGCTGGGAATACTTTTTTCCAGCTCTTTATTCTGAAGTAGTATGTATCTTTGATGCAGAGATGTTTCTTACATGCAGCAGAATGTTGGATCCTGTTTCTACAACCATTCTGTTAGTCTATGTCTTTTTCTAGGAGAGTTGAGTCCATTAATGTCGATAGATATTAATAATCAATGATT